TATAATATGCACATGTAACAAATCATAAAATAAAATAAGTTGCTACCCAGATTTTAACTTGCACATGTAACAAATTATAATATGCATAATAATAAAAATATAAAATAAAACACATTTAAATTTGAAATATTTATGGAGTAACAAATTGTCATGCCTTGATCACGGTCTCTCTAGAAAGAGGAATCAATGAATGCAAGAGTTGCCACCAAAATTTTAAAAAGATAATTTTTAAAATTTTTTTAAAAAAACATGATATATAAGAACTTGAATAGAGATCGGGAGTTAATTGTGAATAAAAAAGGTGTTAGGCACTCCATATCGCCTATTTGCGAGAGTGGTTACCCAAGTTAACTGAACAAAATTAATATGGCCTTTAATATAATTTAATTACCATTAATAAAACAAAAACAATTAAAAAAAGAAGAAAAATTAAATAAAAATTTATTTACTTACAAGTTGGATTTGATCTAGAATGACTTAGGATCTACATACCTTTTAGAGGGATGAAAGTATGAGATATTATAAAATATATTGGGTATTTCAAAAGAAGTTATTTATAAATAAATAATATTAATTATCATAACCCCTACTTAAATCTATTTATTTAACTTCATTATTTTCTGCAAATGACTTTTAATTGTGATTAAGAAGTCATTTATCATTATTTGTATGGTCTTGGCCAATAAAAGATAGTGTCAGCATCACGTTTGATAGGTTGAGCCTTTAAGTTATGTTCCTCTCTTCTCTGCTACCTTTTAGCTTCATGAGTTATTCTATTAATTTTTGTCATTCTGCTACATTGCTTTGGCAAGAAGAATCCATTTAATCTTTTGAGTTGCTGCCTTATGGTTAAATAGCTTTTAAGGACAATATCTCTAAGCACAACTCAAATTATATTTTTCATGTTTTATGCAGGTGTTTCCAACAATATTAAAAGTTATTTTCATCTCGTTAATATTTCTCCTCCACTACTCCATTCAACAAAGGAAATGAGATAAGTTTATCTTATGATTTTGTTTCATTTAGTTTTTGTATGTATTTTAGAAATCAACACCGTTCGTAGTTTCAAATGCTTCTCACCTTAATGTTGATCTTTTGTTAACGAGATAAGAAAGCAACGTTATGGGTGAGGATGACATAGAAGCGGACGTTGTTGAATTTTTCTTGGAAGCAAATATTAATTTTTTGATATATGTTATGGTTAAAAATATTGAAAAGAAAAGGGCCCTTGACATTGGAATGGAAGTTGGTCGGCTAGTGCGAGGTTGTTTTTTTTTTTTTTGGCAAGAATGCATGGTGGTATATTAACGGTTATGAATTACAATGATGGAAATTTATTTTGGAAATCTTTCTTCAAGTTATTTGAAAATGCTTCTTATTTTGATTGGTTTTTCAATTAATAATGATACTATAACATCTTTCTAGTAGGTGTTTTTGTCATTAGTTTAGTAAATGCTACTAATAAGGAGCATTATTGTGTTGATTGGTGTGCCTTAATGCATGAAATTATATTCCTCTATAACGGTTCCATATATCTGCCAGAATAAGGTTGAATGTGCAGTTTTGGTTGTGATGGATCCAACTCCGATGCTATTTACAGTGCCAGAGATGAATTGGGATTTTGAAGGAAAATATTAATAATGTAAAATAACTGCTTATGTATGGGAGAGAAGATGATATAGGTGTGTGGTGCGTGGCAGTCAATATTTTTTGGGTAAAATAGCAAATTTAGTCATATATTATTTTTTGAGGAATATCTGGTAGTCTAAACTATCAAATGATATAAAATAAATTACGAACTTTAAAAAATGGAAACATCTAGTAACTCGCCATTGACTTCAGCTGAAGGAAGTTATGTAGAGCCCACAATGACATGCAGCACAATATGGGCATGACACATTGGTATAGTAAAAGTGTAAATTTAGCCATAAACTATTTTTCAAGGAGCACTAAATAGCTTCTACTATAAAAAAACAAATTATCTAATACCTTCCTCTCAATTTTGACAAAATACCATTTATTTTCATAATTATGAGACCCACAAATATTAATCTCTCCAATCTTTTCGCCTTCTTTCTTAGTATCAGCTCAAGGAGAAGAAGTTTAAAAAGTTTTTATCTGAAGACATTCATAAAAATGATGCCAATGAAGTAGAAGCTTGATTTTACTACATATACGAGAAGCTTGATTCTAGCTTAATTTAGCCATGAATTATTTCTTCTATTTTATTAGTGTCATTTTCGTAAATGTTTTCAAATAAGAATTCTTTGAACCCTTTTTTCTTGAGCTAATACTGAGAAAGAAGGCAAGAAGATTGGAGAGATTAATGCTTTGTGGGTCTCATAATTATGAAAATAAATGGTGTTTGGTCAAAATTGAGGGGAAGGTATTGGATGATCTTTTTTTCATAGTAGAAGCTACCTAATACTCCTCGAAAAATATTTCGTGGCTAAATATGCACCTTTACCATGCTGACATGTTGTACTCGTGTCATGCCACATGTTATTGTGGGTCTCACATTACGTCCATTAGCTGAATTTAACGACAAGCTATTAGATGCTCCATCATTAAAAGTTTATGATTTATTTTACACTATCTAATAGTTTAGGCTACTAGATGTTCCTTAGAAAATAGTATAAGGCAAAATTTTTACCTTTACCCATATTTTTTTCATGATTATTTTTGTTTATTACCAACACGTTAATGTTAATATAAAGGTTGATCGAGTTTGTGTTATGACAATAAATTAGTTTTATTTCTAAACATATATGTTTTGTTATTTATGAAACTGAGAATTGTACATGGACACAGGCACTGTTATGAAACAATGAGTTGGATATGTTCTTGGTCTCAAAGTGGGTGCAATACTATTGATTCGCCCAATGATGTTTGTGGATCCAATGGAGGCATATGTTGAGGTAGCGGGTTTTGAGGATGTTCGTAAACAAAATTGGATGTTAGGATGCATGAGTACAAAAGCATAAGATAAGTCATAAGATAAGTCATGGTAAATGTGTGAACATCATTAATATAATGTTCACCTTGACATTATCAAAACAACTCTAACAGCACTATTGTAATAATCAGGATTAATTAAATTCCCTATAAAAGGTTATCACAACACAAGAGTTTTAAAAAATTCATTTCAAAGATTGTGATCCTAAGAAACCCTTTTTAAAAAGCTGTTTGAGCTCAAACTATGAATTAAAACAAATTTAACAAGGTAGCGAAAGCATATAACCCATAAATGCATTGATGGCCATTTTGGAAAATTCCAAAAAGTACATTGATGATACAGGGGCTTCTGAACGAATCGACTAGATGATTTACATACATTGCAGGGCAGGTATCATCCACTATGGTGAATGGCACAGAGGAACTATGTTTCTCTTTGTGCAATGCACCATGGCACACCTACCTTGTGTCGCTGTGCACTCCTACTGTCATTGAAGTTCTGTTACCATGACAGCTCCTCTAGGCAAGAAAAAAAAAATTGAAGCCCTAGTATTGTGATCTTTCGCTTCTTTGTGTCACGCCATCGTGACTCCTGACTCATGGCTCTCGTTTCTCTCCTTCTTTCGATCGTAACCGTATGTCATGAATTGGCCAAATAGCACTTGTGGGGCCCAAGATGAACATGTGACTTGGGAGGTGGTGCTTTGTATGATGTTGTTACGAGTAACTAAATGGGAAAGACACCTGAACAACGTGAAGTCAGGGATATATATTAGGCGAGATTGTTTGTAAGAGTGTGTAGAATTTGTGTTTGTGCTTCTCCTTTCTATTGCTTCTTCCTCTCTAAGCCTCCCTTTTCTCTCTGTATCTTCTCTTCTTTTTGCATTTCCTTTTTTGAGACTTCGTTGTTTTCCATTGTACACGACTTGTGATTGTCATTTTTGAGTTGAACAATACATTGAGTTTGGCTTTTATCATTATTTTTTCTATTACCATTTTTGAATATGTGACAAAGGTGCTTTCATTGAGAGAGTCAACCCCACTTTAATGGCTAAAGACATTGATGAGATCGAACTTGAGGAGCTACATTAGGTAATTAAATAAATGGCTAAAGAGACCAAAAGCTTGATGGCTTCCTGGAAGCAACTTGAGCAGCGCTTTGATCGAATTGAGGTTATGATTAATGCGATTAAACACAGCTCAAGGTTTGATGATAAGCACTTAATGTCATTGACCATCGGAGATATTAAGTTTTCACAAAGTCATCCTACTCTGGCATCAGTCGTTAATGAAGAGATTAGAGTTGAAAGTACGGTCGGGCCTAGCCCTTAAAAGCTTGGCCCTTGTGGGCCTAACCCTTAAGGCCTGAGTCCTAAAACCCGGTTCCCATTTTTAGCCCCATTTCTCAAGCCCGGCCTTTATGTGAAGGGCTCAAGGCCGGGTCCGTAAGTCCTTTTTAAATAAAATAAAATTAACATTATAGATTAATTAAAATATTTTGAAATTAAAAAAATTAAAATTTTCATAATTTTTTAAAATTAAACAACACGCATTTAAAAGTTTAGTAATAAAATTCAAATTTTGGTTAAAAAATAATTCATTTTTTATAAATACACAAACATAATAATTATAGAAAATAAAAAATATCAAAAATTTTATACTATACACTGATATTTATTAAATTATATTAAATTAATTTTAGAATAAATTAAATTTAATAATAATATAATACATGTAGGATCAGGTGAGCAAGTCATTGACTTCAAACATGTATTTCACCAAAGAAAAAATAATAATAATAATATAATTGAGCTTGAAGGGCTGCTCGGGCCTGAACTCTTTTTTACAAAATTTATCAAAATCAAACCCTCAAACTCAATTATTTTTTAAAAAATTTATTTTTAAAGTTCAAACTCATTTAAATAAGGTCCCAAAGCTCGGCTCTTATTTTCCACCAGTTTTAAAAGAGATGACAAATCTTCCAGGAATATCAGTTGAGCCTCCGTCTGCCCGTAATATTCCGTCCGTCGAAGTGATCGCTTCTCTACATTATTCTCTCTATTTTGACCCTATTGTACTGCAATCTGATCTTGAATCGAGTGAAGAGATAGAAGACGCTGTCTTTATAAACTCTGTCCCACCGTTGGCAAAATTTAAATCAGATGAAGAGATAGAAGACGCTGTCTTTATAAACTCTGTCCCACCATTGGCAAAATTTAAATCAGATGAAGAGATAGAATATATATGTTTTCCTTCTGCTATTAGAGTGTCCTCTACCGTTGAAGGGACTGTTACAGAAGATGATAAGGGTGACGCAACCATTAACGTAGGAAATGGAGAGGGTGATACATTAGTGATCAGTGAGTCACAGAGGTTGGCTAGTTTGCTGGAGAATGGACCTCTAATGCTTGGGGTTTGTTTTTTAAAAACTACCCGTCTTTTTGTGGATTGGGCCGCAGTATTTGGAGCCTAAGTTAGGGGTGTTCAACCCTCATTCAACTAGCCTAGCAAATTCTCCTCCATTTTTCAGTCAGGGACAAAAGAGAGCCGACGGCCACGAGTCTGGAGAGTGCGACGGAGATGCATTACTTGATCCTTGCAACGTTGCTCTTACAGTAACAGGTTGGCTTAACGAATTCATTCAATATTTGTTATCACTAGCCACACGATTGAAGACTTGGCCTCCAAAGCTATCTCATACTTCCAGTATCTCGATCCTCTTTGGCCGTCCACGTTTGGTACACTGTAAGGGGATTATTAATGGCTTAATATTTGATCCGAGTATTCTCGTCGCTCTTCTTCTTGTGAATTACAACCTACGATCATTTCAATTTTGGTCCACAGACTCTAGAGAATTCACATGGTGTAGAATCAATTTAAGTGAAATTCTTATCCGGTTGCGAGGGTCTTGCTCTTATCTAATTACCTGTCGAATATTTTATCCTAGTCCCACTAATAACCTTCACTGCTGCAATTTTACTGGGATTCTTGGAGCAGATCATTTTTATTGGAATTCATTAATTTTCAAGTATGGGAATAATTGTGGAAATGATAAAGAAATGCATATGTTTAAGGCACGGCAGCAAATTCCATTCAATGGCTATGTTATCACCTGGTTGCTTTTACGTATGGTTGATTCTTGCTTGCTCACCAGTGTCCATGGAATGTCCTGTTTAAGTTTGCCTAGTGGGATTGCATATAAAGTTAGTTCACCAGTGGCAATCTCTGGTTATGCAATTTATACCCTCACCTTCATGATATATCCCCGAGCCTGTTATGCATATCTCTTGAATGCTTTCTATAAGAGGATAGAGAGTATTGGTCCTCCTTTTATGGATTATTGGAGTGAAGAACTTTGTGATTTGACTTCCATGTTGAATTTTCACCTTTATCACGAACACACTGGTTTTGGATTTTTCTACTGGATTTTGATGAGTAAAATGATGTTTGTATTACTGCTACTTAAACTCAAGTTCAGATACAGTGTGGTTTCTGGAATCACTTTATGTTGGCTCGAAGTAGGTTCAACGTTATCTCTATTTTCTATAATAATTTTCGACCCTGGAATTACTGAGGGAGTACGACATTTGCATTTAATAATCTTAGTCCTTGCATCAGCCCATTTTTACATGTTACTAGTCATATGGGCTTTGACTAAGCTTAGCAATATGATACCTTCTTGGATGTTTCATGCGCCATCCAATTTCTACATGTTAATGGAGTTAAGAGCTGTAAGCATTCCTCATGATGTATCATCAAACAAAATTTGCCATCTTCATACCCCATACACTTGTGTTGGTCATTATGATTGGATCATTTTGAACACAAACTACCTGGGCACCACTAAATACTCAGAAGTGTTTGATATGTGTCTCACATTCAACCTAGATGATTGGAGTTCCAGGCTTATTTGCCTTCTAGAAGCCCCTTCTACTCTCCCTTATTTGTGCTTCAAACTAGAGTGGAACACACTTAAAGATGAAAATACTAATTCAAACCTCCTCCTCCAAGTTTTCAAGTTGATGATAATTTTGCTTATTGGACTTGGCAAGGATGCAGAGTACATATGCATTTAATTCCAAAACTTTTGGGTTTATTATATTTTAATTTCTTGGAATGGTTTGGGTCCTCATACAAGGTACACCTTGACTGCTTTAAATGCTTCTTCTCTACCCTTTGACCTTGAGGCAAGGTCAATCTCTATGGGGAGGGTAATGTCATGAATTGGCCAAATAGCACTTGTGGGGCCCAAGATGAACATGTGGCTTGGGGGTGGTGCTTCTGTGTGATGCTGTTACTAGTAACTAAATGGGAAAGACGCCTGAACCTCCCTGAGCCAGGGATATATATTAGGCGAGATTGTTTGTAAGAGTGTGTAGAATTTGTGTTTGTGCTTCTCCTTTCTGTTGCTTCTTCCTCCCTGAGCCTCCCTTTTCTCTCTGTATCTTCTCTTCTTTCTGCATTTCCTTTTCTGAGACTTCATTGTTTTCCATTGTACACAACTTGTGATTGTCATTTTTGAGTTGAATAATACATTGAGTTTGGCTTTCATCATTATTTTTTCTGTTGCCTTTTCTGAGTATGTGACACCGTAGTGTTTTCGCTTGCGCCGTGCAGTCCTAATCTTGTAGCATTCTCGTCTGCCATCTGCTTCACCTCTGGCAGCTTTGACTTTCTCAGCATTCCCAGCAGTGGGATTGCCGTCGTTGGTTTTTGGGTCTGTGGGTCTCGGCGTTCTTGTCATCCTGGATCAGGCAGCTTCTCTCCCTCCCTCCCCACTTGATTCTGGTTTATACTTGACTAATCTATTTATTCGCAATTACTTGCTTACTTTCATCAATGATCACTCTGTATTCTAGTGATGTGGGGCTTAAGTGGCTCACTGATAACTGTACTCTGTTATGCTTCATAGATGAATAAAGAACGAGAAGAAAAACTCTGAAATTAATGCCTTTATGTTAATTATAGTTTAAGCGCACCCACTTCATTTGTTTGAAACGAGTTAATAGTAGTTCAAAGTTAGGTCATTATACAACTGCGAGCATTTTTATTTTTGTCACGAACATCTGCTCTATTTGATCGTTGAATGTTCTGCTTTGATGTTCTTCATAAGTTGAATAATTGGTTTTCAACAGAATTCAATGTGTTTGGTGCTTTCTATTTGTGTATGTTGGATCACACAATGAACAATCTAACTTAAAGACTGGAATCCCCGAAATTCCCCCCACTCTCTCTCTCAACTGATATCATCATCTCTCATTTTGTTCTTGGTTCATGTTCATATCATTTCCTCAGTAGCGTTCATTTGCGTGGCTGTTCAAAGGATGTTGTTGGTGAAAAAAGTATGTTAAGAAATATAAGCCTCAGTAGCGTTGTTGAATATGGATGAATGTATTGAGTAGTATTGTGTTTTTATTTAAATTATATTATTTTATTATGACCAGTTTAAGTTCGGGTTAAACCCTTGACCCTTGACTGGACCAGCCAGTTTTCAGTACCTCTCTATTTATAGATAAGTCTGTTGTATGGGATCTGTAATTTTTCCTTCTTTCCAATTTCTCCTTCCTCTGCCTTACCTATTGAATCACATCAGTGCCTCCTTCCTAACTGAGAGTAGAGCACAGTGCCTCCTTCCGTTGTCCATTACTAGTCTGAAGCTTTGAAACTGATAGTGGAGTACGTTGCTGTTCGTTTTTGCCATTCAGATTACTTGCTGTTTGCACTTGCCGTTCAGATCAAGGTTCACGTTGCTATCTACGTCTCTTGCATTCTCAAGGTTCAATTTACTCTTCCTTATACTTTGGTTTGATTTTTGTTCTGAGATCTGGAAAAATTGGATCCAAGGTTCAATTTCTGCTCTGATTTTTCTTGTTAATGATTGAATCCCCATGTCCCAGTTTTGTGAATGTCTTCTGCTTGAATCATTCAAGCTCTGGTGTTCAAATTTTGACTTCTTTTCTTTGATTGAAGCTCTCAATGTCTTCTGGTTTGATTTTAGTTTGACTTCAAATTTTGTTGGATGAAAAATTGAAATATTCAGCCCTGCATTGTCTGCTGCTGCTGTAGCCACGGATCCATCCTTGTGTAAATCCTTGTTTGAATAATATAGCTTCACCATGACATGTGATTAAATGTCATTTAAATCCTTCATTATCATAACAAGCTACATGGAATGCTAACTCAAACTAATGTAAGTAACAAGAGCTTTCGTCACATGACTACAGGTTTAGTGCTTGATTTTTAATCCTTGTGCAAATTGAAGCTGTGTCTCTTTTTTCTTTGTTTTCGGGTACTAAGATCTCTGATCACTTTTGGTACTAAGTTATAATGAACAGAAACAATACAATTGAATCTGCTTCTTCCTTGAGGACCTCAACCTCAACAACAAATTTATGGCATGCTGTTGATTGTTCTTTTGATAGTCGTATTGTGTTGCTGCTTTCATTGGTTATGTTGTTTTGCTGTTTTGTATTGTTTTATAGACCATTATTAGTGTGACCATCGTCTTGACTTTGGAGGCTGGATTTTAAATGTAACTTTTTAAAATAATTTTTATTTGGATTTATTATAGGTTTTAATTTCATTTTTAAAGCCTACTATATTTATGCATTGAGTAGGCTTCAAAGTCTTCCAGACCAAAGTTAAGATGCCTTTTTAAAGGTTTACATATAAAGTTGGGGCAGCATTGTGCTCTTTTTAATTCTTCATGGGCATTATTGCGAAACCTGATTGTTTAATATGCCTAGTTCTCTTGAGAGAATAATTTGAGGCCATAAATGCCCTTTAACCCTAAAATTTATGTTGATGTTTTTTGCTCTTCCATAATTAGTATGCTGGTATATTTGTAAAACACCATAGGCATTAGTTTTAGTAACAAAATTTTATATTTGAGCCCATGTGAATGCAAAAAAAAAAAAAAAAAAAAAATGTTAAGGTTGCTTGAAATAATTTTGAAGGAATGGAAATGATTTGATACTTTAGAGTTTTTTATGGAAAAAAAAAAAACCTCAAAAGTATGAAAAAGACAATATCATCCTTCTAGAAAATAAATAATAAAAAATAGTGTTGTCAAAAAAAAAAAAGTTTCCTGAATCAATTGGCTTAGTAAGGCATCTTCATTAGAGTATCTGGAACAAATTAGAATGGTATGATATTGATTACATATTTCAAAGATTTTAATCTAATGGGACATATAGGTCCGCCTATAACTATGGGAACAGGATTTAAAAATCTAGTCTGGGTTGTGATGTTGAAATGATTCAAAACAACAGCATATCTGATCTGATAAGTTTTATTGAAATTCCTTTGATGAAGAAAAGTTTTATCTAACCATCACATATGCTAAGTTTGACAATATAAATGTGAAATTTCCTTGGTTTTTACTGATGTGATACACATTTCAATACAGATATGGTGATCCCGCCTCCACCAAGGCCTCCAAGGATAATAGATTTTCTCAAACCGTATGTACTGAAAATGCATTTTACAAATAAGTACGTGAGTGCTCAGGTGATCCACACACCAACTGCTACTGTAGCTTGTTCTGCAAGCTCTCAGGAGAAAGCCTTAAGGTCAAGTTTGGAAACAACCCGTGATGTGGCTACAGCTGCGAAGATTGGGAAGATACTAGGTGAACGCCTTTTGCTCAAGAATATACCTGCTGTTAGTATTCACTTGAAGAGAGAACAGAAGTATCATGGTAAGGTTCGAGCTGTTGTTGATTCTGTTAGAGATGATGGTGTTAAATTGCTTTGAGTTATTCTCGTAGATATTTGGTTGAAGCTTGGAGAGAGTATCTTTCTGGACCTTGTGTTGGGAAGTTTCTATATCATTTTAGCATAAATTCAGAAAGGATGCTCACTTTTGTTCGATTTAGTTTTCTAACGTTATTATAACCAGAAAGTTGAACGTGCTGAATTCAGTTTCTATGATAACATCGTTAAGTATTGGTAATTAGAAGTTGCCACCCTTGATGGTTGCATGCTTGTTCCACTATATTTGATATTTAATGGAAGTTTAATTTTACATTGATTTCAATTATAATTTTTTTAATTTATTTTTTTAATTTTCTTATTTTTTCCTAAAAGGACAATTTAGTAAATTTAATATAAAAGAATAATTACTTCTATATTAACATATATAATAAATAAGGGTTGCAGGTATGAAGGATGAACCATCTTTCATCATATTTATACAAGCAAATTTCTTTATTTTATAAAAGAAATAAAATTTAAATGTTAGAAGTGAGATTTTAAAATTGTTGCATGTGACCCCCTAAATGAATAACAGATGGTGTTATTACAAATTCTTTGCTTTTGTTCTTAAATTCAATTTGTTTTATTTGATTATTCTCAATTCAATACAAATTCTAATTCACGATGAATTTAATTTAATATAGTTTACAAGGTACTGAAAACAGAATTAGTCATTGAACCGATCAAGACATTAGGTCAAGGATAAGTGGTTTAACTAAATCATAATAAATAATATAATTTAAATAAAAATACATTAAAAATTAAATTTATTATAAATTAAAATATTTTCTTATATTGAAAAATTATATTTTTTTGGTCATGAAAAAAGTTATATTTTTAATTTTTTATCTTGACACTTGTATTAAAAAATAGCAAAAGAAAGGGAGAGAATGTTTTCTTTGATCCAGTCTGTAATAACCAGTAAAAGCCATTTTCTCACCCTCCTCAAGGTAAAAAGTTTGAAGTTTCAGGTTGCAAGTGCAAAACTCAAGGTATTGTTTATTATTTTTTGTCCCTACATCCCTTGTTTACTTCGGTAGTTTATTGTCGTCTTCTTCATTTTTCCCATTTCTCTATGCTTCTCACTTAGGCAACTGGTATTGAGGTGTTCTCTTCTTTAGGTGAAAAGTATTTAAAAATTTATACTGTTTTGTTCATTGTTTTCATTGGGTAGGAAGATTTTTAAGTTTTTCGTTGTGTTTTTTACTTGTTTTTTTGTGCTATATCAGATCTTCTTCTTTTTCTTGTCTTCCCTCTCTTAGTGTGTCTTGGTTTTTTGGTTGGATGTTGCTATGACACTTTTCAAAAAATAAAAAAAGTTAACTAATGTGAGCCATTCAATTTGTCGAGTTGAACGGCTTATTGTAGGTTAATTTTAAGTTAGGCAAGTTAAGATGGATCAATCTTTTTTCAGTTAAATCACTTGCCTAAATCTGCTAGATAACCAATTCACCGGTGCAACCAACCAATCTAGTCTGGATTTTAATATAATGATAATTTAATTGATATGAATGTCAAATATAAGATTCACATTGAATTTCAAGGCAATTCAATATTTGTCATGTTTGTACTATTGTTATAGGTTATGTATTTATATAATGTATTGGCATATAATACAAATAAGTATTTATGCTACTGAAGATGGATGCCACACATGCCGCTCACTCACCCCGCACTCCGTTTAAAAAAATAACTAATTTTTTTTTTCAATTTTAAGTTATTAAATTCATCAAGTAATTTTTGAAGATGAATTAATGACTTGGTTTTTTATTTTTTTTAAATTGATGCACAAAATTTGTAAATTTACACTTCACAAGTCACGACTAAAATGTGCAATAATTGATAATTAAGTGGATAATTGAATAAATCATATATTTGTAATTCTTAAACATTAAATAGGAGAGGTAGGTATAATTAACATAAAATAAAAAAAAAACTGAATGGTGGATAGGCATACTTTTAAGGGAAAATGATAAAAAAAATTTAAAATATATAAATAAAAATTTGATCACTTAAAATGTCATAAAATTTTTCTGAAATTTTTAAGAATTTTTCTATCGTTAATGAATTTATATAAATTATCAAATTATCCTTGTTAAAACTAAATGACTCACAATTTTTTTTTATATTCGCAACAATACAACAGTTAGAGATTATAAGAAGAAAAGTTTGACTCATTTATTTTTAATAAAAACAATTTGATAATTTATATAAATTCATTAATGACAAAAAAATTCTTAAAAACTTCAAAAAAATTATGACATTTTAAAAAATTAAGTTGTCATTTATTTTTAAAGGAATTTTATTGCCATTTTCCCTACTTTTTTAATGAGCTAATTTTCATCCTTTGTTATTACACTAATAAATTGCTATGCACGGTAATGACTTATCCCTTCAGACACATCTGATAAAATTGGAACGATAAATAGAAAATTAGCATGGGCCTTGCACAAACTGACACACAAATCAAGAAATGGTCCACTTTTTTTTTTTTTTAAATCTCAGATCAAAGATCTGATTACTACTATATTTAGTATTTACAGCACCATAATCTATTTCTGCCTTCAGTTTCCACTTTCCACCACCAATCAATACCGAGGCTTTCTATGTCACTGTACACGTAGAATATCCATAAAACTACTCTGATTATTACTCTGAATAAAAAGTGCGCCTAGAATTACTGATTATCAAAGAATAAAAACATATCCTTTTTCAGTACACATACGTGTGTGTGCAATGCCTTTTTCTATTTTTCAGCAGTGTACGGACAAAACTATATTTACATAGTTTATCTTTCACAGGTAATAAAAAGAGGGAAAGGAAAAACCAACAGAATACTATAGTGTTAGTCTCTGCATATTCTTCACAGGCTACCAAGAACTCTCCAGATCCTTCTAGTGTCTTCCTTACAAGAACATCACAGACATCCGTTTACATCAAAAAAAAGTTATTTCTACAGTTTCAGATTATGCAGGAAAAGAATAATGCAGAAAGAGGAAATAATAAGCGATTTTGCATGAGCAGCTCCCATCCAAGTGATGCAAATGCAAAAAGCAGGCCAAAATCTTAACACAGAGAAAGATGAAAAGAGAAAATTTAATTAAGGGCAAGCACTTTATCTCCACTTGAAACATGTAGGACTAGGACTTTCCAGGCAAAGATGTACTTGACATGGCCTTCTTCTAGACCAATTGGCAAAGTTGATTACATTCGTAACAACAAAAACAGACCTGTAATTTCTGATGGTCCCTAAAAGTTACCCGTGCTTCTCAAGCGTCCCAGTACATCTTTTTCTCCAGTGAGTTGCTTGACCAAGCCTTTAAATTGGCCAGAAAGTTTCAGTACCATATGGTTTGAACACCATTCAATGAACTAAAGGGTCCATACAAGTCTAATATAAGGAAACAACTGAATCTTGGTAATCAGGAATTCACAAATCACCCATTTGTGAAATTTATTGCTCTAATAGCACACAAACACTAGAATCACGTCCAAAAATATATTAATATGCAAGATAAGGTTCATCATTAGAAGAAGTTATTACCATTGGTATAATCACGACAGTCATGGAGACCAACTCTCAAATATGTATCCCAAGTTTTGTTGAACTCATTTGCAATGCCTACACCATCTGCTTCTGAATATCCAACAAACCAACATTTTCTTCCTGGCAACGTTTTCATCTTCCTTACAAGAACAGATCCTGAGAAAGCAAGCATTCATGGATTCTCAAAGTGCTCTATTGAATGATTACACTACTGGATATAAGTGTTAACTTTTGAGCAGCTTTCAGCTCAATTTTCTGTACTACAGTATGCATATGTTTTACCCTGCAATTATTTATCTACCATAATTGCTTCAGTCAACACAATTCAGAGGTCAAACTTTCTTGGAATATAAGATGATTACTATGTCGAGGTATACGCATGATAGTACTGACCTGGTACTTCTTTACCAGATAGAACTGCAAGTGCCACATATATATCTTCAGGATCATTAGGTTGAAAATCAAAAACCAGGACCTAAAACACGTTCACTGTGATCAAAACTCAGGTCTGCAGTATTAACAGGTAGTAAACAGAAAGTCCAGCGTCTCCTTTCCAACACCTTTAATCATTCACAGGAAAATACAATATTTCAACTTTGAAAACCTCAAACCCTATAGTGCAGGGAAATGGCACCTTTAAGGTTTTAAAAACTTAAAAAAAAAAAAAAAAGCAAGAAAGGGAGAAAAACAGAAATACAACATCTCTGTTTATAAAATCCATTGTGTGATTTTGTGGTTTGATTCCTACATCACAATTATCCATCTCAAGATGTATATACTAGGCCATCAAACTCCACAGAAGAGGGGACAAGGAAAAATTCTTGAAACATTTGAAAATTTTATTTTTTTAAAGCGGTTGGGGGGGGGGGAGTAATATCGAAATATCAGAAAAATAAAAGAAGGAAGCTTTAAAACAATAGAAGAGGAAACATGAAAGCAGAAACCATGTAAAGGGACTAGATACAAAAACATTTGAGTTACGCAACTCCCACCCATATTGAACCAAGAAAATATCACATTTTCATTAAACAAAGGTAAATTACTTTGTTGGTCCATGTAATCTGAAAATTCCTGGTTGAGCCTTTGACGCCAATTCCTCTGCCAAACTGTTGCTAAATTTCACACATTCTAATTCTAATTCTATGTATAATTCATGCAAGCTCACTAAAACCTAGGTAGCATTACATGTCACAGGCATGAATAGATTTCACTTCATCATCTATACTTGTCCCGATAGAAGTCAAATTAAGTGAAAAGCTTTTTTTTTTTTTTTTGGTTCCCATTAAACAAATCCTCGTATGGATAACGTAAATGTGAGAAAGAAAGAGAGAACCTGAGAAGGAGGAGGAAATGGGGAGGAGGGTTTGAGGATGACCATGAAGTGCTGGAAATCCCAGATATTGAGAGAGTAAGCAGCAGACATAACTAACTGGGCAGGTCCTTTTGAGGCTCTCAAAGGCATTGCCGCTACATACACTTCATCTCTCCCACTTACTAGTTTTGCTTTCGACAACAGAGACGCCATTCTATTTGCAGAGAAAGAAACGGAAGATCCAGCTTATTGAATGTTGTGTAACCCAAAAAGCAAAATAGAAAGATGCGCAAGTTGGAGTTCTTGGTTTCGATGGTTGGATGCCGTGTGTGATCATGGCCATTCTTTTCTCGCTCACGGCTCTGTAAACGAACGCTTACGAACAATCGTATGACTAGTGGCGGAAAATACTCCACAATCCACCCTGTTTTTTTTTTTAAACAACATATTTGTACATAATTGAATAATTAATTTAATTTAATAATATTTATTCAACGGGAGCTAATAGCTCTTTCCTGAAGATATTTTGAAAGATCTCTCCCTTGTTTATTGGGAAATTAATTTACTCGCCTCTTTCTCTAAAAGATGTTCTCCAAGATCATCACCTGAATGTTCAATCTTAGTGTGTTTTTGATTGTATGGACTCTAAATTTATTTCACATGTTTTTTGTGATTATAGTTATGTAAAGTCTATTTGGTTTGGATTATCTCCACTCTTTTGCAGCATAATGATAGTTTAAAGTTTAAACCTTTAGCTAAGAAGCATAATTATTTTGCTTAAACTGATTTGGAGGAAAGGAAATCTAGCTTTTCATGGCCATCTTATTACTGTCCAAGGAAGTGGTGAAAGTATTTCACCTGGCTTTTTTTTTTTTTTTTCAAATCATTTGTTGAATGTTCGTCAATGGCCATGATCACAACAAACTAAATTGCAGCCTTCACTTCATCACTATGCTTTTTCATCCTACTCTCGAAACTGTGGTGCTAAAATACCAAATCCTTTGATTTGGAATGTTAGAATGAGGAAATATAAAATTAGAGGAATTATCTTTTACTTAGCTTTGTTTTATTGCAATTCTAAACTTTTATACATCATCATCAAATGGAGATGTTTAATTACCACAAAAGCAAACTGTTTCAACCTCCTTTATATTCCAGCTATTTTACATCAGACTTATCTCCATAATTGTCTCTGCAGAGATGCATCTTCCTCACATACTTTTGCAAGAAGCTTTTTCATGTGGATTATTATTAAAGATATTATTTGCTTCAACCTTTATAAGACATCTACAAGCTAGTTTCTCTATTTGGCAGTTAAATTTAATGTTTTTCATGTATGTTTTTCTTTTTCTGCCTCATTTTCCTTTAGATTTTTTATTTTTTACTACTTGTAAACTCTTGTTTTTTTAATGGTATTGTCCATCTTTTTTTAAAAAAAAAAACAGCTTCTCCACAAAAAAAAGTAAATGAATAAAAAAGAAGGTATAGAAAGGCACATGGGTCATACGAGTTCTACTTTTCAAAGGGCTTCTCTCGGTTTCTTCAATATTGGTTTTTTTAATCAATATTATCTTTTAAATTAATCATCAAATGTTGCAATATTTTCCGTCCGCCAATTAAGATATTTCATTGGACGTACTTAATATTTTCTTAACATTAAAGAAATATTACTTTATATATAATGTAATTTATAAAAAGACAATGATATTTATAAGCTGTCAATCCAATGATCTCTTTTCTTTTCCTTTTTTAATATAAGGCCATACGGTAACCGTGCAAAAATACTAAAGTCTAATTATGTCTAAAGCCACAAGACTTATATAGTTAACGGGCGAGTTGTCAAAGATAGTAATATCAAAGACTTCATAGGATGTCTTATAGGTTAAAAGATCAACACATTTATTGACTTCTCTGTAGAGGTGGTCAAAGGTAACTTTCCAATCTCTCATGATAAGATCTCTGATGCTCTTGATAATCATAGAGACTAGATGTTGATTGTTGCAACTATTGTTAATAAGCAATAAAGCTTCCAAAGAGTCAATGTAGACATTAATTTTGACTTGATTCTCATTCCAACAAAGATTGAGGCCTTTTAAAATTTTCAAGAGTTCAGCTGCCATACTTAGGTAAAAATCAAGATTCTTGAAAAATCCCTAATCCAAATCTCTTTATTGTCTCTAATAATGCCTTCACAGGCACCTACACCATTAGTAATAATTGAGCCATCAACACTGAGTCAAACCTAACTAGGTTTGGGAGGATTCCATTTAGTTTTATATCTGTTGACATTTTTGCTCAATTGGTTGGTCTTGGATAGCAACTTTAGGTTATTCATTATTCGCTATGTGTTGGGAAAAGCAATGATGCTTTCCAGTAAATCTTTTTTAGAGTAGATCTTCTTGCATCTGGTTTTCCATGTACTCCAACATGCTTGGGCAATAAGTCTCCGCCAGGGGATTTTTCTTGTTATCCAACTGTCTGCTTTATTTTTAGCATTTCAAATTATCAAATCCTATACATCACAAAAAAGGCATTAAGTTTTCTAGGGTTTTCTAATCTTTTTCATACCTCTTGAGTTTCCTTACAATCATGCAAAATATGAAAAGAGTAGTATTCTCATTAGTATACATATAGTTGGTTTAGAGATGATCCCAAGAGACCTTCTAAAGGAAATATTTAATTTTTTTCATATGTCAGCCACTTCCAAATGTTGGACCAGATGTCAAAGCGATTTTGATCTTTTCAAGTCTCTAGAGCTTAATTTATAAGTAGATTTAATGGTGAAGTTACCATCAAAAGAAGCTCTCCAAATAAAAACACCTTTATCACTCTATTGGTTGGGAGGTCGAACAAATGCAATTTGTCTAGTGATATCAAGATGCAGGTAGCATTTCAAAAGATTGAAATTCCAACCTCCTACTATATTGTTGAAGCTTAAGACTCAAGCATGAAGAGTAGAATCAACATTATAGATATCATATTTGACAACAAGATCAAGGAAGGGGGATCATTTATCATAGTAGAATGATATCTCCTTTGCCCACTTTCCAACCAATCTAAGTAGTAAACTTATCCCAAACTTTGCTTATGCTACTTTAGGTATAAAAACAAGACCTAGGTTTAATAACAATAGGAATAATAGGTTTATTACATTTATATTTGTGTTAGACTCATACCCAGAGGTAATTTGGTTTAGTGATGAGAGCCTACAAAGTTTCATGATGAATATAATATTTGGACTCTTGAGCTTCTTTATACCAAGACCTCCATCTTTTTTATATGAAGTAATGCAATCCTAAGAGAGGTGAGATTTTTTGTTCTCGTTTGAAGAATCTCAACGAAAGTTTGTAGATATTTTATCAGTAATGCAGTCCTAAGAGAGGAGGTGAGATTTTTTGTTCTCGTTTGAAGAATCTCAACGAAAGTTTGTAGATATTTTATCCAACTCAGCCAAGACGTTGTCGGGTAAGAGCATGGTTTGCATGATATGGCAAGGCATAGTAGAAAAGACAAATTTAATGAGCACAAATTTTCCCACAATGTTAAGATAATAGCTTCTCCAGCTAGCCAAGTGTGAATGAGTCTTATCAAGAAGAGGAGTAAAAGTAAGTTTGAAAGCTTTTTTATGTATTAAAGGAATTTTAAGGTATTTTTCAAGATTTCTTGTGAAAAAAATTCCTAACTCCTTACTAATTTGAGAAGCTCTATTGAAGTTCTTGAACAGAATAATTTGGATTTATTAGTATTAATTCTTTGTCCAAAGGCATTGCAAAAATCCAAAAAGTATTGTTGAATGATCATTACTTGAGATTATAGAGAAGATTCTACATAAAGTAATAGATTATCAGTGAAAAAATAAGTGAGATATGAGAGGCTCACTAGGTGTTAATCAAAGGCCGGACTTATGGCTGCCATTTAGCTTGCTAGTGTTAGATTGATAAATGATCTCTTTTCTTATATTTATAATAAAGGGGTTCCACACAAAGACACCACACACTCTTTTGTCAGAGATTGATCCTACAATCATCTTATTTTAAGGGGGTGATGAGAGAATATAACTTCAGCTGCAAGTTCATGGCAGTATGTATTTTTTTGACTAAATATCTTATTTATTTGTATAACTAGAACTAAATCAATTAACCAGAGGGAAATTAGAAACTAATTAATATGAACAAGCTGTTAAAATTGGGACAGCCTGGAAAACAAATTAAAACAAAACCAATAGAACAAGAGAAGGGTAAGATAACATGGAAGAGACATGTGGTAGCCAACAAACATTAACAAATTATTACCCCCACAAAGCAGATGCATGTATCAAATCACATCACAAAAGCACCATCATTATAATTTAACATACACACTGATTCATGCATTGCCACGTGGGCGACCCAGTCCGTACGTAGACCACTAAACACAACGCAACAACTTAACTGACATGCAACACCACAAACACGACACAACCAAACACAAGAAACTAACCCTCTCTCAATATGAACTCATCAAATACATAACAGATTATTATTAAAAAGAGAGAACTATAGAATCCATTGGAGTGCGGGTCCCAATTCACTTGATGTGGGTCCCATGCATGCATGCCTAGCTTGGTTCCTCTCATTCTTCAGCCTTCTCAGTTGCCGCTTCAGGCTCAGCTTCTGTGCCTTCTTCACTCTTCTTCTCTTCAGTCTCTGCTTCTTTCTTCTCTTCTTTCTCTTCAGTATCTGCTTCTTTCTTCTCTTGTTTCTCTTCAGTCTCTGCAACTTCTTTCTTCTTTTCCTTCTCTTCACTCTTTTCATGAACTGAGGCTTCTGGCTTCTCTGTTGTCTCCTCCTCCTTCTCAGCCTTGTCTTCAACTTCAGTAATTATCTTAGTTTCTTCTTCAGTCTTGGGTGCCTCGGCCTGATCTGCAACAACTTCATCAGTATTTTCTTTGGTGGTTTCTTCTGCAACTACTACAGCTGTTGTCTCGTCTTCTTCCTTCTTGGTCTCTTCATCTGTCTTCTCTTTTGCTGCCTCTTCTGTCACTGTCTCAACCTTGGCTCCTTCTGCTTGATTTTCATGAACCCTCTTATACAAGTGTGTCTCAACTAATTTAACTAATTTAGATTAATGTGGATGTCCAGTTATATATATCATTGGCGCATGGTATCCATCATCATCTTACAGTTGAGACTCTTCAAATTACTTTTTTCTCCTTTAATTTGCAATTGAGTTCTCATACTTTCTCTTCATCATAACAATTCAGCTTTTTGTAATTTCTTCGACAATATAACTTGGTTTATGTGATTTTTTAACTCAATAGACGCCAAGGATTGAGTTGGATTAAATCAAAGTTCAAGGATTAAATCAATAATTGAAGTGAAGTTTAGGGACTAAAATTTATATTATTCTGATTTTTGTTGATATTCGGTTTTTTCCCTAATATGTTGGATCCTTTCCATTGGATTATCACAAGTATTATTTGAGTTTTTCTTTGCTTACATTTATTCCTCTTGTTGATAATCATGTATAGTACAATCATATACATATTTAGAGTATTAAGATGAGACAGGAATAACAAGCTAGTTAATTACATCCAACCAAAATTAGTGGAACACTGAGAAAAGTTGAAAGGAAAACATACTGGATATGAAAAATTTTTAAGGCTCGCTCCAAGGTTGCAATTATAAATTTTTCAACCATAAGCATAATATAAATCCTCATATAAAGAGTGAATTAAATAATTACAATATGCAGTATTTTGATAATTTATAATCAATTTATATATATGCTTCATCGATATGAACATGGATACAGCAATTAAAGTTATACCTTGTGAGATGGCAGGGTTTTCTTGCTGTTGTGATTCCTCAGACGACATAGCCTGACGAGGCTCATCAGCTGGTGTTGGTGTTGGTGTTGGAATTGGAATATTATTCTCTTCACTGATCTTCTTCTCGGTTGCTTCCTCTGGCAGGGCAGTTTTTGCTGATACAACCTGCAATTAACACAAATATGTAACTATGCTATAATTATAGCAACCAGTATCTAATTTGCTACGCAAGTACTGAGATCAATGTCAGGGATCTGAGAGGCTGACACAAGGCTATATATAAAGAAATTAAAGTAAAATCAAAGCAAACTGGAAAAAGAACAAGTTTTGAAGAAATTAAAAAAAGACGACGTAAAATGCTAATTATGATGAATCATCGCCTCTCGGAGCTAGCTAGATAGGTATATGATTTAACAATAGATGTGAATAACTATTAACTAGTACGGGTTGAGTGATGACCAGCATATATGATCTTGGTGCCTGAATATCCGAAGTGAAAAGATAGAGAATCAACATAATTATAAGAAACAAAGATCTATTAATTGATTACCTCAACAGTGGCCATGATCTTGGCAGCGAGCCAGGAATAATTGAAAGGAATGAGAAGAAGATGATCACTAAGGAGGGGGGGGGGGAAGAGAGAGAGAGAGGTATATATGAGGGAGTGATGGTGAAAAGAGTGGAAGTGAGTGGTGCATTATATAGGAGGAGAGGCCACAAGTCTGCAGTACTAGAACAATGAATGGGGGAATTTTAAAGGAAGAATAATAGTTAAGATTCCCAAAGAAAAGATTAAATTAATGATGATTAGGTTTCTATTAAATTTTTTAAAAAAATAAATTATAAATATTAATTTAAGTAATTATAAATAAAATTTTTTATTATAATTTAAGAGTTACATTTTATACTTAAATACTTATTTACAATTAAAACTCCTTAATTTGTAATTATCTACATTGATATTTTTAATTTATTTTTTAAAAAAATTGTTAAAAATTTAACTACTATTAATTCAATATTTTGAGATCTAATTATTTTTTTTTAATTTGATATTGCACTGCAAGATTAAGAGACTAATTTAAAAATATATTTTAACATTAAATGATCAAAATATCCTCCATTTATTAAAATAAAAATGCCACCATTGTCGTCTTAGCTGCCATAGCTGGATGTTGTCGGAGCTAAAAATAAATGATCTGATGATGTGGGGCTTTGGCGAGGGGCGGTGAATAGATTTTTTTAATAATTAAAGGTATTTTGATCATTTATTATTAAAATATAATTTTAATTTAATTCCTTAATCTTTCAATATGTAGTTTCAAAATCTCTTGGCTCTAATTTGAAATTAAATTACTAGAAAGGTCATATAGTAAAATAAAGGAATTACTCATTGATAACTATTTCACATACACTTTTAAAAAAATTAGGTGAAACCTTAGTCCATTAAAAGTTTTTATATCTTTTCAATTATACTTTCATTAAATATAATATATAAGTGCTTAAATAATGACTACAATTTAAAATTCTAAAATATATCATTTTTTTTAAAAAGAGTAATAAATAAAGTAAGGATATAAAGTTCAAAAAATAATTATAAAAATTATCTAATGTTTTATAATATTTTAGATTAAATAATATTTCTAGAACATGTCCTATCTTGTAGTTCAAAAGGATTAATGTGAGTTTAATGTGATTCAAACCCCAATTAGAAAGAAGAACATGCATGATTTTTTTTTTTTCATTACCAAAAGTCAAAAAACTCTAAGACCTTACTTAAATAGTACTAAGTCTCTTGTGATTTAATCTAGGGAGAATGACAGAGAGGGATTTCAAAGGGATTAATTAATTCAACTTAGATTTTAAGTGTCAAACTTTAAGAATTTGTAAGTTTGGTTCTCAATTTTAAAATTTTATTATGATGAAATTGCAACTTACGTTCTAAATTTTAATAGAAAAAATAAATTTATTTATTCTTTAATCATATTAACATTTGAAAAATAAATTATAAATTTATTGTAACGAAATTATAAAATTGATAGTCCAACTTACAAATTCATAGAGTTTGGCACTTGGAACTCAAACTGAATTGATTGATTCTTTTAAAATCTCTCTGTCATTCTCCCTTTAATCTACACATTGATTTAATTGTACTTAAGTACTGTTTATTTTTACAGAAAAGCTATTACTAAATTGTATATTACAAAACTTGTGTTAGGGATGCAGCATGCCTCACTGCCGAATATATTCTGATTCCTTTATGTGTGAGACCAAATATATTAAATATAATTTGTTCAATTTTTCTTCTTTATTCATAATTTACACACACATATAACATATTAATTAATTTATTTATTTGGGGCACTGAACACATATACTATTTTATTTTTATCATGCACACTAAACAAGTCTTAGAAGTGGTAGATGTATGGGAAGAATTAGGTGGTGACGGGGACACTTGGTGAAGAATTAATCTTGGGATTTGACACCTCTAATTCTGTGAATGGTAGGCAACAATGGTGGCAAATGCTTAGAAATACGAAATTATGACCCAAAAAAAAAGTCATGTTATCACTGCTACTATCACGTCGTGTATAGTCTCATTATCTCACACTATCAATGGAGCAACATTTTCTTTCTCCTCTATATAAGCTCATCATCTTCTTTTGGCTCCTTCTGCCTGTGCTTTGTGCAGTCCCGTATTTAGGGGACTCACCCATTGTCCCTCACTCATTTTCTTTTCTCAAGTTGTTGTTGTTAATTAAACGTTGTTAAGTTAATCCTCCGTCAGAGCAATGCTAGTGGCATATACATTATTCTGTTGATTCAAAGATATATATATATATATATATATAGGCTATGGCAGAGCTAGATCTTGGGTCAAGAAGAAGTGGCGGAACCAAGATCTTTGGTACAAGGAAAACATTTTCAAAACCACTATTTCTTTTTCCTTCTTTCTGTCTCTCTCTTTCTCTGCTTTTTTTTTAATAATTTAACTTATAATTGTAAATTTGTTAGTGTAATGAGTTAATAAAAGATATTCAATGAGTTTACTCTTGAGTTTTGAATTTTTTTTATTGCCTTTTTTCTAACTAGTATTTAGGATGAGGATGACATGGCGGGTCTAGTTTAGTCAAATTACATTTTATTTTTATTCTTTAAAAAATTAATAAATAATATTGATATTTATGTATAATAAAATTATGAGTTAATATTCATTAGACTTTGAGTCAAAAAAATTGAATAGATCTAAATTAAAAAGTAAGATTAAAGTAAGTTAAAAGATTAAAATATTAAATTGAGAGTGCAAAATACTCCTTCCGGTTTTATTTATAAGATACCTTCTAAAAGTAATTTTTGTCCAAAATATAGGACATCTTGTAATAATTAAATCACTTTTTTTAATTTTACTTTTTGATTAGTGTGAAGGTATTTAATGTAATTTTATTATTATTCAAAATTAAGGATAAAAATAAAAGTACATTTCACTTTTTTATGAGATAAAAAAAACTAATTTTTTTTAAAATATATGAAATAATTAAAAGTGTCATATAATAAAGACTGAAAATAATATAAAAATTCATACCCCATACATGTTATTTTTTTCCAAGTGAGGGGGCATCAACTACACGTGGCTCCCCCACTGTATGTGGGTTTAGCTTGATGTTTCTTTTGGAAATTATCATTTAATTTACATCTTCATAAATATAGTGCAATAAAATGAAATTATAATTGTCAACAAAATAATTATTCCATCCAGATAAAAATATTTAACTTTCAAGTTTATATATGTACTCAAATTATAGATAAATCTATTAAATAATCTATACTATATGATACTTTATATATGTTTAATTTGCATTCGAAATGCCTTTTGGTTATTCAATTAGTTGAGTTTAAATCATGAAAACCCCTTCTTAGACAGAATCTGAGTAATGCGACATGCTACTCTTACTTTATGAATTATGTGTGGGAGTGTTATATTTATGTCTGTAGATATATAATAATTTCCATGCATGTAAAGGTTAAAAGGAATTTATTTACCAAAAAAAAAACAAAAAAAAAGGTCAAAAGGAGTTTACAGACATGTTGCTGAATTATCGAGACGCCTTTTGGGCATCGAATGGATCGCAGGGGAAAAATTATCCCACCTGAGGTGGGCCATCTCCGTAATCATTTTTTTAGAATCTATTTTTATTTTTTTTTTCATTCCATGACCGGTGTTTTAAAAATTCTTTTTAGATTAATCTAATAAACCCTTGATGCCGTTTTAATTTAAGTTAATTCAGTTGAATTAGGCGGGCTTAATGCTCTAATTTTAACATTTTTTTAATACTCCCATCATCTCTACTTTCTGTGGAAAAAAACTTTATCTAACTTACATATATCGACAAAATCGTTAAAATTAATTTATACTTGCAAATTGATTCCATATTTTTATTTATTATCTCAACTAATACTTATCATGTCTTTTAAATTTTAAATGCTTTCAAGATTTAAAATCTAAAACTTTTAAGCATTTCGGTATGTCCATGGGTAATTCAGGGGGCAAATGCATCCCATCAATTTGGGAAAAATTGCAAGAAGAGATTATATGTTTCACTGTTTTGCACCTTCTGGTTTAAATATTTTACACCTTTTAATTTAATTTTAAAAATATTTGAGTCTCAAAATAATTTTAAATATGTTTAATTAAAGCGCAAAAACATATGGCACCTCCTAATGTAAGGTCTTGGCGCACTATGTATGTCTTTGCATGGAAGAAGCTACTCATTTATTCATCAAGTGAGACCAGTTTTTTTATTTGTTATTAATATTAACCACTCCTAAGATTTTAATATCTTATATAATAAAGCCACAGTTTTTTTCCAAAAAAAAAATCTTATAATTAAGAACGGTGGGAGCGTTTGTTTATAATTTAATGAAGAAAAAGAGAAAAGGGCATAACGTTATTTGTATTTATACAGTTCTTTGTGTTCAGTGTGGTAGATCCTCGATGCTCACACGACTCACGAGTCTTGACTGGTCATTAATTTTTAATTATTTATTTTGAGAAGAGATCATTGATCTGTTCCATGACTAATAGTGTTGATCGGATTTGGGAAAGAAGGAACGACACAGGGGTTCTGAAATAATTAATTAATTTAATTTATATTTTAAGTGTCAATTTTTAAAAATTTACGTTTAATTTTTAATTTTATAATTTTGTTATAATAAATTTATAACTTGTGTTCTAAATTTTAATAAAAAAATAAATTTATTTATTTTTTAAATATGTAAAAATTTAAAAAACAACTTACAAATTCCTTAATGTTAGTACTTGAAATTTAAATTGAATTAATTAATTTTTTTGGATCTCTTTAATATTTTCCCTATGTGAAATCTGTCCAGTATTGATATATTGCTTAAATAAATAATTATATAGAAGTGGGGGGTGTTTATATTTAGTCTTTTATTTATTGCACACATACACGGTATTTTTTTAAATGAAATTTAAAGTATGATTGGATATCAAATATCACTATATTTTTTTAATGAGAATTCAAATATTAGTTAATTTTATAAATATATATATATATATATATTCTCTCCAACTAGCCATTTCTCCTCAAGCTTTTTTAAAATTAAACATATGCATGTCTAGATGTCTTCTACGTAGAGATGAAAGTATAATAAATT